AAAGACTAATGACAAAGAAGCCATCCCACTAAAATCAGTCTTCTTGCTTCTACAATTACCACGACACCACGAAGCACACTGAACCAAATCAACTCTTCACTTTTGCAAACACTTTGACAAGGGTCAGTCTATGAAACACCTGCAAGTGTTGTCCCAACACTGAGCACACGAACAATTTGAGGGAAAATGCTCCAACGAACAAGTTCGCAAACCGCAGTTGGCCTTGTATGGTCCTTGTGACCCAAAAACAAGTGGGATGGCACCTGCGCCTGAAGTTGCTCGATCACAAGAAAGCGAGCCTCTCCAAGAGCTATTTAGGACAAGCACTTGAACAGGACTAGTAGCTTCTTGTTACTACTAGTAAGGCACTTGTTACTAGTAGCGATGTACTTGTTACTAGTAGCGAACATTGTTACTACTACTAGACACATCAGCAAGAAGCATTGAACACCACGTCAAGTGGCCGTCTTCGGTGGCGTGTACTCTATCTGTTCTTCGACAGGCTCGACTGGCTCCTGGGCTGCGTTTGACACAAACATAGAAACCAGCTGGTGAATGCTGGTGATGAAGGCTCCAACTGATCTAGAACTGAAGAGACAAGTCATGAGAAGTCCAACCCATCACAGCTTACACAAAACACCTGCGATGCTGCACTGGCGGCCCTCTTCACTCATTAGATAAAAGGGAAACTCAATGAATCATAATGAATCTCCCCATTCACAAATGTTAAGTATATAAATCTATACATATTCACTATAGACTATAGAGATGACCCTTTGATTGCAACTGCTCCTCTCTGGTTCACGTCCAACGATCTTGTTCGCACACGAGAATGTCCTCCCCTTCCGCTTGAACCCCAGACTCTCCCTTCAAATTGATTGCTGATCGGTGATGAGCTGCTGATCTTCCATGTAATCACCCCATGTTGCAACACATGTGGAATGACAAGTGGCAGTCTCTGGTGGCGTGTATGGCGCAGGTTCTTGAACTGGCGTCTGGACCTGACATCTGCAGTTGAGCTGGATTCACCATCCGTATACTTTCCCTGAAATGGCTTGCAGAACAAAGCACCAGATTCCAGCAAGGATTGTATATGGATTGTATATATTAGTAAATGTATTTAAACAATAGATGCAATCATTTCTGCAAGTTGTTATATGTTGTTGTCACTGTCCTAGTTCTTTTCCCGGACTGCAAGTCAGTTCGATGACAGAACTGCTTGAGCGACCAGGAGAAAGCGGAGTTTATAGGATTCCAGGTCTCACATGTCCAGTTTCAATCCCTGCTTCCTCCGCATCATTGCCTCTTTGATCCAAAGTCAGTTGACAATCTTCCTCTTTCCAACACAATGCCCTAGAAAAAAACATTGCTTCTGGGATTACACATTGAAGAAAGCAGTCAGAAAGGCCGCAAACGACATGTTAATGTTACTCCCCAAATTACATAATCTACCAAAGTAAGTCGAACATGGTTGATGATCGAATATTGTATCTCAAGTCCTACTAAGCCTTTCTCTGAAATGATTGAACACTGGGAACGACCGATTTTTCGAGAAAGAAGAAAGCTTCGCCAAATGCTGCAAATAGTGGGTTTCATTTCCCTCTCAGCCTCTCCAATGGTTCACAACTTCTTCCTTTAACAGGGCCAAGTGAACATGTTAACCAAGAGTGCCTTCAAAGAATGTTAATTGACCCACAAGTTCTGGCAAGCGTTCGAAAAGGGGATTAGATTAGTAGGGTTGTGAACTGTTCAGGCATGTGCCTCCCTCATTCAAGTTGGTTGCCATTATTAATTTATGGAATTGTATTAGTTTAATGATGTGACAAATCAATTTGAGTCAGGAACTAAATCAGAAAAAAGGGATGCAAACCAAGAGTGCAACAAGATGAGTTAAAAGGTGGGAGAAACAAACCGAAGCGAACAGTTTGGTCGGGGATATTGAAGACAGTAATTGGTGCCATCGACACCAGGAGCGGCTAAATGAGCCTCAAACAAATGGATCTAGCCTTGGCAAAACAAGAAGGTCACAAGAGAGTTACAAATACAATTTCAGGATATTTCAGGAAACGATCCGTCTGCATTTCGTCCATCAATAACCAATAACGCATTCATGATACATATCTCCCCATCTCCATCAATCTGCATCAAGCGGCAGAGGTGTAAGTCGGAGCCACGTTCAGCGGCACAGGCGCCGTGCTCGGCAAAGTGCCCGCAGCCGCGCCCTGGCTGAGCAGTGTTGCGAAACAAGAAGATCAGGTGCTTAGGGCTGGGGTCTAACTACCCTCTGAGGAAGTAGTTGTCAACCTAAGACTGGACAACATTTGAGAATTTCATCAAGGCTCAACTCTTCCCGGGAACTCAGGACAAACATTTGAAGGACCTACTGCCAGCTTCGATCATTGAGGTCTGCGTCTTCTGCACCGTGAAAAAGGCGTAGATGCCATTTCAGGAGGCCAGGAGTGCATCCCCGAAGCCAATACACGCTTGGACTTGACTCAAGACACCTTTAAACTTTAAGCTAGACAAAAGCTGATTATAGAAAGCCCAAATGCTCAGATGCCAAATGATTACTCTTGGTAGATGCTTACAGTTTGGTGCTCCATCTGCGGATCTCACTCTATGGCTCTATGCCATGTCTGTTTCTGAATTCTCCCACCATTGCGCTTGGTTTGATCAGAGGCTCCTGTTTTGGCTCCAATCACGAAAGTGGATGATGTTCAGAGTTCTGCGTCCTCTCGGCGCGCCGGTCATCACCGGACCCTGTTTGTCATGGGTCCACCGGTCATCTCCCTCTTCCCTCGACGTCTCCACCAGGACCACCACGTTTGTTTCAGGTTCTGAACCCGCCTGGTAGGGCGTGATGATCACCTGAACGCCCCCGGGGAAGTTATAGGAATTAGACTGCTGGCCAGCACTTGACATCTGATGACCATACCAGCCGGTCTCGGTGCCGTGGCTGTGGGAAACTCTGGTATCGTCGATCTGGCTGTGGGAGAGTGTGTGAGTGTGAGTGCTGTCAGTGCTCTGGCTGTAGAGCGAAGATTCCGGATTGATTTTGGAATGAGAAAGTGTCTGAGTGCCGAGGCTGGCAGATTTGTCGTCTTCCATTTGAGTGGTTCCAGTGTCAACTGAAGACTTTATGTTGTCGATCTGCGAATGTGAGAGTGTCTGGGTACTGGTGCCAACTGAAGACTTCTGCTCTCCCATCTGAGTACCTTGGGAGGCTGTCTGGGTGTCGGTGCCGATCTGAGCACCTTGGGATGCTGCCTGGGTGTTGGTGCCAAGTGAAGACTTCTGTTCCTCCGTCTGTGTACTATGGGACATTGTCTGCGCGCCAGTGACAACTGATGACTTCTGTTCTCCCATCTGAGTACCTTGGGAGGCTGTCTGGGTAGCAGTGCCAATCTGAGTACCTTGGGACGCTGTCTGGGTGTTGGTGCTAAGTGAAGACTTCTGCTCCTCCGTCTGTGTACTATGGGACATTGTCTGGGCGCCAGTGACAAGTGATGACTTCTGTTCTCCCGTAGCGGTGCCAATCTGAGTACCTTGGGAGGCTGTCTGGGTGTCGGTGCCAATCTGAGTACCTTGGGAGGCTGTCTGGGTGTCGGTGCCGATCTGAGCACCTTGGGAGGCTGCCTGGGTGTTGGTGCTAAGTGAAGACTTCTGCTCCTCCGTCTGTGTACTATGAGACATTGTCTGGGCGCCAGTGACAACTGATGACTTCTGTTCTCCCATCTGAGTACCTTGGGATGCTGTCTGGGTAGCGGTGCCAATCTGAGTACCTTGGGAGGCTGTCTGGGTGCCGGTGCCCAGCGAAGACTTGGCATTGTCAAGCTGACTATGCGAGAGTGTTTCACTCGTTGCACCATGGGCCGATTCACCCGATTCACTCTCGGAGGGCGTCGTTGCGACAAAGCTGCTTTCCTGCGGGAAGTCGGGGCAAAAAAAACAAAACATCTGGGCCGACCTGTTGGATTGGATGTATTGTGAAGGGAAAACCTGGAGAGCAAACAAGGCCTTCTTGGACAAAGAATCATGAAGACTTCCACAGGTGTAGGTGTGCGCTGTTGAATTGTAGGTGCGCTGCTTCCTCCTTGACTCAGGAGCTAGTGATGCAAACTCTTACCAAAGGTATATATTGGGTATGAAATGGTATGAACATGTTGCAAATTATCATATATAATATCGGGAATAGTTTTTTTCTTTATGCTAACGGTTCTTTTTTTTATGCTGGATTTGGGTGGGTTCTTTTTTTATGCTAACGGTCTTTATTTTTATGCTGAGGGTTTTTATTTTTATGCTGATGGTTTTTATTTTTATGCTAACGAATGTAATTGTCGCGGGGCTTTATTGGAAAATGTAATTGTCGCGGGGCTTTAGCGGAGAATGTAATTTTCGCGGGGCTTAGTGAAGAATGTAATTGTCGCGGGGCTTTATTGGAAGGGCGGCGGCTCATCTGCGCACACACATTTTGTTAGCACTTGCGCCTCATCTGCGCACACAGATTTGACTCATGCGCGCACACAGTCCATCGGGGAGACTCAAGTGCGCACACAGGCCCTTTCCCGCATGTTTGCTCACTTGCAAGGGTCGTCAAGAGGGAATGGCCACTTCCTCCTCTAAATTTTACCCCTCCAGTGGCTCACCAAAGGGTGAGTCAACTTGGAATGACCACTTCCTTCTCTAAATTTTACCCCTGCCTTGCCCACAAAAGGGTGAGTCAAGTTGAAATGGCAACATCTTTCTCTAAATTTTACCCTCGGGTGGCTCACCACAGGGTGAGTCAACTTGGAAGAGCAACATCCTTCTCTAAATTTTACCCCTGCATGGCTCACAAAAGGGTGAGTCAAGTTGAAATGGCAACATCCTTCTCTAAATTTTCCCCCTGCATGGCCCACAAAAGGGTGAGTCAACTTGGCATGGCCACTTTCCTCTCTAAACTTTACCTCTGCATGGCCCACAAAAGGGTGAGTCAAGTCGGAGTGACCACTTCCTTCTCTAAACTTTACCCTGCCCACAAAAGGGTGAGTCAAGTTGAAATGGCAACATCC